CGTATCCTAATACCTTAAGGTTTGAAATAATAAAAGATCATGTTAGTTTAAGCCAGAGAATTTTGATCAGTTACTGGAGCATTTTTCAATCTCCAACCCTCAATGAAAACCCTGAAAAATTTGCTTTTAAGATCTATGAGTATGCCTCAGATACTGTAAAACCATGTCAAGTTGATGTAAATTTATCTTAACTACTATATGGTATGTGTATGTGACATAGCATTTCATGAAACAGGGTGACAAAGTATCAAGTTACAAGAAGACAGATAGTGAAAGAGAGAAACAAGAGATATAGATATCGGTAGGATAAATGTATCATGTTCAGTGAACAATAAAGAAATAAGTTCACAGACAGAGGTTGTTTTATGGTACAACAAAAGTGGACTCAACACTTGTGTACATACCCTCTGGACATGAAGAGATTCCAGATACTCCTTGCGAGCTTCAATAACAGCCTTTCTTTCCAGCATTTGTTTGTGCTCTTTGCGTGATGTGCGTAAGTACACTTGAGCTAGCTGCTCCTCTTCTCCATTTTTCTTCTCCTGGAAAAATGAACATTGACAGAGAAACAATTTATTATTTATGCTTATTATAAGTATTGTACAAAGAATAGAATGAACAAGGTGCTGAGTTGTATCAGGCGGTAAGTTTCTCCTCCAAGCATGGCTCAGATTAACGAGATATTATTCATCATAAGCAACCTCAAACCTTGATATCAAACAATAAACAACATGACAAGTAGTTTTATCCATCCTGTTTAACGAGCACTGTAAATATTTTATCTGAAAAAGAATTACATCATAACATGCAAAAGTATGGCCGGTGATATTGTATTCACATACTTTGATGCACAGGATTTTGAATGTTAAACCAACACATTAGAACAAGGCAACATTAAACCAACAAATTCTGATATGAAACTGGCTCATTTTACCAAATAAGTCATGTAAACACTTCCATAGTAGTATACGAATGCGTTAAACGTAGTCATACTTTTGCTTGTTGCACTGTAAGGATGGCCTGCCAAAGAAATGCCATTAACTTCTACTTGAATGGCTGAATACATTATAGTACAATTACTATATATTAAAACCAGAATCCCTAAGAATTCCATAGTTTAATTATCATCAAATGTAGGAATAAATATTTGAATAAAATTTGCAAAACGTTCTGATGATATCATTTTATTGTGCTGCCTACCTTTATCTCTTCTTTCTTGATGATCCTAATAGCTTTATTAACTGCCACAGCCATCATATTCAGTTGGTTTCTCAGTGATTCTGAAGGCATACTCTGTAGGCATTAAATAAACTAATCAAGAACAAAGTCCAATTATATACCTTATCAAAGATGGCATATTTGTACTGCATCAGTTTATGGGTGATGAAGGTTGTCCTCAGTATATTTGGTGGATATTAGGACAGTGTGGGGTTATTCATCATGTGCAGTAGACCTTTAACAAATCGTTAACAGAATTCCTTTGTCTGTCTTCTTATTGATCATACAGTAGTTGATGTCTTAAAATGTACAAAACTCAAGTGGAACCAAGAGCGTAGCGAGTTATCTCACTGTAAAGTTTTGAACATTTTAAGACATCATCTATGTTCAAGAGACTGACCTGCAGGAATGGGCCTTCTGGAACTTCCTCTCTGTGAGCAACATGAAGGTCCAGTCCAAAGTTGATAGACTTTGTACGATGATCTATACGCACCTAGAACGAAAACACATTTGCTCATAGTTCATTTACATACTGTATTGCATAAAACTTTTGAATTGAAATAAAGTATTCCAAAGAATACAGTTCTTTCAGTATTACCTGGACATTGCGTTTCTTTACTATCTCAACAATGGCATTCTCTAGTTGGTATTCCGTGGCGAAAGGCACAAGTTTCAAGAGTCTTGAGAATTCCATAGTTTGGTAGACTTGAGCAACCTTTGAATATAACAATGCATATTCGTCAACTAATCAAACATGGACTCCAAAAACAAAGATATTATTTATTGACAATGAGCCCAGAAACTAATGTTTTCAGTATCTCAATAACTTATTATCGTTTAGCTATACTAAACAGTAAAGAAAATTCTGGATTTAATAGATTTTTTTAGCTCGGGCGTAATGTTTTATTATTTCAGATGTGTTATTCCGTAGAACATCATTTCTTTGTTTAATTGTTGTGCATGAGAAGACACATGAATATGGATATGACTCAAACAAAGAATCTTATTCTCAAGA